AACTTTCTGCCCTCTTTGCTACAGCTAGTCTATGCCTATGTATTCTTATGTGCTTATTTTTGTCTGTTATCGGTTCAACTTTTCTACAAGAAAACGCATTTTTCATACATTATACATAGGACTAGATCTATGATAAAATAATGTGGAAATTTAGACGCTTTGTATTATTTTTTTCCCCCAGAAACTATGGCTAATGTTAAGCTACAATCATGAATACGAAGAGTAAGTATATTTACATTCAAAATACATACGATGGAAAAATCTATCTTTATTACCTATAAAACATAAGCCAACAAAGTATAATTTTAGAATAATAAATAATAATAATAATAATAATAATAATAATAATAATAATAATAATAATATACTATGGTAATGGAATTGATAAATAGTAGGCCTAATAGGTGAAATACTTTTTTGAAATATACTGTAAATTATTAAGGCTTTGTTGCCTTTACCTTCGTATATGGGGTAGCTACTGGGACTTCCCAATCGTTTATAATGAACCTAGAGATTTCGTGATATAGCGTGATGCAAGTCTTGGTAGCCTAATACGAACACCAAGGTTACCATTATAAGATAAACATGCCAGATTTTAAAATCGCCAGATACAAGTCCCATAAAATTGAGTGCGTGAATACAATTTGAATTTCTTCAATTTTGTTTTGTCTTCTTTAATTAAATTTGAAATTTCTGTTTCTAAAATAATTGCAAAATTGTTCACAATGAAGATTTGGATGAATATTTCAGAATTTGTGTTTCTCTTTGTAAGTTTATTCATTTCATCCACAAACGTTTGTGATCGTGTTTATATTTGTTTTCAACTGATCAAAAATAATCCGATTTGGATTTTTGGAATTTTTTACTTTTGTATCAAAGATAAGGATATTCATTAAAAGGTGTCTGATGGCTGCCACTTTTTTTCGGATAAGTGTTTTGCATGATCACGGTCATTAACTCATCAAGAAATCAAGGAAAATACAACGACATACAGTCGAGATTTATCAAGAATTCAAGGAAAATACAACGACATACAGTCGAGATTCATCAGGAAATCAAGGAAAATACAACGACATACAGTCGAGATTCATCAAGAAATCAAGGAAAATACAAAGACATACAGTCGAGATTCATCAAGAAATGCAAGATCCAATGACACTAAGGAAGAGCAAGAATTTGTAAATCTAGATGAATCAGTCGAGATTCATCAAGAAATCAAGGAAAATACAACGACATACAGTCGAGATTCATCAAGAAATCAAGGAAAATACAACGACATACAGTCGAGATTCATCAAGAAATCAAGGAAAATACAAAGACATACAGTCGAGATTCATCAAGAAATCAAGGAAAATACAACGACATACAGTCGAGATTCATCAAGAAATCAAGGAAAATACAACGACATACAGTCGAAATTCATCAAGAAATCAAGGAAAATACAACGACATACAGTCGAGATTCATCAAGAAATCAAGGAAAATACAACGACATACAGTCGAGATTCATCAAGAAATCAAGGAAAATACAACGACATACAGTCGAGATTCATCAAGAAATCAAGGAAAATACAACGACATACAGACGAGATTCATCAAGAAATCAAGGAAAATACAACGACATACAGTCGAGATTCATCATGAAATCAAGGAAAATACAACGACATACAGTCGAGATTCATCAAGAAATCAAGGTAAATACAAAGACATACAGTCGAGATTCATCAAGAAATCAAGGAAAATACAACGGCATACAGTCGAGATTCATCAAGAAATCAAGGAAAATACAACGGCGTAGAGTCGAGATTCATCAAGAAATCAAGGAAAATACAACAGCATAGAGTTGAGATTCATCAAGAAATCAAGGAAAATACAACGGCATACAGTCGAGATTCATCAAGAAATCAAGGAAAATACAACGACATACAGTCGAGATTCATCAAGAAATCAAGGAAAATACAACGACATACAGTCGAGATTCATCAAGAAATCAAGGAAAATACAACGACATACAGTCGAGATTCAACAAGAAATCCAGGAAAATATGACATACGTACAGTCGAAATTCATCGAATCGCGACAGAAAGAGAGGGCTTGTCAAGAGGATAATGGAACGTTTAAGGGGGAAGTACGGGTACCAGACATGGCTTGATAAAGAACAAATGGTTGGATCCACTGAAGAAAAGATGACTGAAGCCGTCAGAGAAGCTGACATCGTTCTGATTTTCTGGTCACCTGAATACGATAAAAGTAAAAACTGTAAATTCGGTAAGTCTACTTTACAGTCTTATCTCACGAAGTATAAAATACTCGTCCACACGTCGTCTTCCACCATGCCTGGAAACAAGTTTTAGATTATTCATATTACATATCAAGTGATCATCTCTAATAGGTATACCGTATTAAAATATATGTCTGGCAGATTCCCATATTACTTATCGTCCATTTGAATGCTTATTTTTTTACCCTTCATATGAATAGGTAATGTATTCCTATTTTGCCTAGTTTTTAAGCATCAGACAAGCGTTATACCTTTGGCTGTGCAGATACAATGGTTTAGTGGTTTGTCCATGTGAATAGATGGCAAAATAGTGAATACAGTACATTAAAAATGACTATAGAAAACTCCACACTAGCCACTAACACAAGCCTATGTACAAATACTTATTTAAAAATGATGATGTTAATGCTTTATTTAAAATGATTTTGTGAATAGAATGTTTACAGCACATGTCAGAATAAAAAAAATCAAGGAAAATACGACATACGTACAGTCGAGATTCATCAAGAAATCAAGGAAATTACAACGACATACAGTCGTGATTCATCAAGAAATCAAGGAAAATACAAAGACATACAGTCGAGATTCATCAAGAAATAAAGGAAAATACAACGACATACAGTCGAGATTCATTAAGAAATCAAGGAAAATACGACATATAGTCGAGATTCAACAAGAAATCAAGGAAAATACGACATACGTACTGTCGAGATTCATCAAGAAATCAAGGAAAATACAACGACATACTGTACAGTCGAGATTCATCAAGAAATCAAGGAAAATACGACATACAGTCGAGATTCATCAAGAAATCAAGGAAAATACAACGGCATACAGTCGAGATTCATCAAGAAATCAAAGAAAATACAACTGCATACAGTCGAGATTCATCAAGAAATCAAGGAAAATACAACGACATACAGTCGAGATTCATCAAGAAATCAAGGAAAATACAACGACATACAGTCGAGATTCATCAAGAAATCAAGAAAAATACAACGACATACAGTCGAGATTCATCAAGAAATCAAGGAAAATACAACGACATACAGTCGAGATTCATCAAGTAATCAAGAAAAATATGACGACGTACATTCGAGCTTTGTGTCACAATGATCCATTTCATTTTTTTAGCTTAAGCATATAAAACTAATAATAAAAAAACACCAATTCAATAAATATTGAATGTGTTTTTGCTTTTGGTCACATGAAGTAGGAATGCTTAGACACAAAATCCGATTAAGTGAGTCTTAGAAACTGTCACCTAATTGTCATATCTGTAGAGGCTTTGCCCCCTGGAACACTTTCGAGTAATTTTGAGCGACGCCCGACCACGCCCACTTTTTCTTCGTCGGGGACCTCGGCTCTCCGTCGTGGACCACGGGTGGCCCCGTCGGGCAAATGCTGGCGCCACCACTGAATTTGTACCGCTAAATCAACAACGATCCCTTAGTCAGCGCTGGATGAAGGCCACTCTTCATAGTTTTAGCCTGAATGGAAATGTAATTCAAATCAACCTTAATCTCATGAAACTATGAATCATTCAAAATGTATACGTTGTTATATAAAAAGTATCTTATGCTAACTATATTACATTTTAGACGACTTTATATACACCACTTTCGACTCCGATAATGCATTAGCATAGCTTTTTAGGCGGTGTTTCAAAAATCATACCATGATGACGTCATATATGAAGATTGGTTTGGTTTATAATTAATTATTTCTGATGTTTAATTTTACCTAATATTGATGAAGATTGTGCTGACTAATTCGCTGTCATTTTTGTTCACAGAAAGAGAGGGCTTGTCAAGAGGATAATGGAACGTTTAAGGGGGAAGTACGGGTACCAGACATGGCTTGATAAAGAACAAATGTTTGGATCCACTGAAGAAAAGATGACTGAAGCCGTCAGAGAAGCGGACATCGTTCTGATTTTCTGGTCACCTGAATACGATAAAAGTAAAAACTGTAAATTCGGTAAGTCTACTTTATACAGTCTTATCTCACGAAGTATAAAATACTCGTCCACACGTCGTCTTCCCCCATGCCTGGAAACAAGTTTTAGATTATTCATATTACATATCAAGTGATCATCTCTAATAGGTATACCGTATTAAAATATATGTCTGGCAGATTTCCATATTACTTATCGTCCATTTGAATGCTTCTTTTTTTACCCTTCATATGAATAGGTAATGTATTCATATTTTGCCTTGTTTTTAAGCATCAGACAAGCGTTATACCTCTGACTGTGCAGATACAATGGTTTAGTGGTTTGTCCATGTGAATACATGGCAAAATAGTGAATACAGTACATTAAAAATGACTACAGAAAACTCCACACTAGCCGCTAACACAAGCCTATGTACAAATACTTATTTAAAAATTATGATGGTAATGCTTTATTTAAAATGATTTTGTAAATAGAATGTTCACAACACATGTCAGAATAAATAAATATTAAATAAATGAATGAGTTAAAATCACTTTTTCTCTATTGTCTTTTCCTACCTTATTTAGAATGTGAGCGTGTTGAAGAATTCCAAAAACCATTTATTGTACTGAAAATGGAAGACGATAAAATGGAAGAAACCTCATGTGTTAAACGAGTGATGAAAAAGGATCTTTACGTGAAATTTTCACGTGAGGCGGATTTTGAAAAAAATTTTGATGAATTGCTGAGAGTCTTAATTTTGACGGAGGTAAGGACTTGATTGATTTTATTTTAAAGAAGTACACCACAAGTATTTTTTCTATTCCATAAAAAATCTTTCCTATATCTTTCCGTATTTAAAATTGTTTATTAATTCTTTCTACAATTTTACAAATCATGCTATAATAATAATTTAACAGGAATTATCACATGTGATTTACTCACATTGTTATGATGACTAATTATATTTGTAATGACAATTAATCTCGTACTGAAGATAGAAATAGTATCTATGGCAATAATGATGATAGCTTTATTGATGGAAATTGTTACAATAATTATGTAATGTGGTTTTTGATGACTATAAACACAATAACGATGATAACAATAGTAATGATGATAATAATAATAGTAATAATAATAACAATAATTATAATAATAACAGCAATAATAATAATAATAATAATAATAATAATAATAATAATGACAACAATATGACCACTTTGAACTTATTTGTGCAATACTTTGCCTACCGAGTAGTAGTTTGTTCCGCTGTTTCCTCGTTTATTATTTGTTTTTGTTTATCTTTTTTTTTTTTTTTTTTTTTTTTTTTTTTTTTTTTTTTTTTTTTTGTGGTTTTTTTTTTGTGTGTATTTTGACATTTTAATGTATTTTGACATTTTAATTGAGTAATGATACCAATGTTAATAATAATTATAATTTTTATATAATTGTATCCAATGTTAATAATAATTAGATTTTTTAACATATTTAATTATTGTAAGGAAAAGAATTAAGTAAATTTAATGTTAATGCTGTAGTTATAATTGTTATAATCTTTATAATATTTGTGTGATTTATTTATTTATTTATTTATTTTTTTTTTGGTGTGCCTGTACCCGATGCTTTGTTTTTACCAGTTATTTTTGTCGCTGTTGCTTTTGTGTCTTTCTTCCCTTTTTATGTTCTTGTGTCCGTTTGGTTGTCCTCCACTTTTCCCCATTGTCCCCCTGGCTTTTTTCTTTCGAGATTTTATTGTCTGTTGATTCTTTTTTAGTAATTTTTAATGTATAACTTCTTTTTGTATTATATTTGATCAAATTGCAATAAAGTAGTATCGTATCGTATCACTGTATTGTCAGTGGCGCATCCAGGAACTTTTTTTTTTTTTTGGAGTGGGTGGGGTGGAGCGCGTGTGCAAATTTTGGACGTAAATGGTCGGGTAAGGTGTAACCTATGCATGTTCGCTTTCATATTATTTCAGAGAGATATGCCGACTGGAAGCTTCGGAGTTTCAAAATTTACATATCTTATGCTCCTGCTTGATTGATTTTGGGTTGGTAGGCCTACGGGTGGGGGAGTGGACGGCACCACCTGGACTTAGTTTTACACTTAAGCCAAATTGAGTTTGAAAGCAGCGGACTACAATAAGTTGAAGAAGCCCAGGACTGGTCTAAATTAATAATAGCGTACACATATTTTTGTTGTTGTAAGACACTGAGCACTATTTAATAATAAAAGCAGCATTGTTCAGGTTTGAATAAAACTGACATGATAACAACTGGATGTACACTGGGTGTCTTTGTATCCCTGGTTCTAAACTACTGTACATCTCAATGTAGCGCACTGTCTTTGGAAGAACATTTTACACAACAATTTACACGAAAGAACACTTCGAAAATAAGAGTAAGGGAGCGTCTCTTGATGTTAGCATGCACTGCCAAATTCACTCCAGGAATGGGGCGGATATAGTAAGCCTATATTATATAATTGCGGTTGCCGATGTTCCATGAGGTGCAGATGAAATTTTCAGATGCTCAAGAAAGTTGGTCCTTTTTGTAGTCTGTATTCCATGTTCAAATCAAATCAAATTAAATCAAATCAAACTTTATTTGTCCATTAAAACACAGGTAAAATGGAAATTCTTTTTCCACTGGCAAAGAACATGAAACATAAAAAAAAACATTGTAAAAACATTAAAACACACCAGAAGGACAACAGTGACTAAAATTTGGAAAGTTTTCTAACAATTTAAAATAATTAATAATCAGATTCATTTAAAACATTTTAAAAATGTAAAAATTCGCATTGCAAGCTAATTAAAATCACATTTTCGTTTGGCATTTTGGTTGAAGATACGTATTGCGTTAATTACAAATGAGTATGTATGTTCATTTTATGACAGAGAGACATTGCAAACAAGCAGCCCAGGAACAAGCCAGACCCGATGCAAGGCAAGTTTNNNNTAGACAAAGAAATAAATAACATTCTTCAGAAGGTGACTACTTTGAAGCATACGTTAAGGAGTATCTGCATCCCTATTCATGGTTACAATTGAAATGACTCAAAAACAGTACTTCAGCATAGGCCTATCTATCTAACTATGAGAGTAAACTATGTATTGTACAAATAAATAACAAATTGAGAGATTAGAGTGTTGGGAATATATGGACAGGAATGAACAGGTTTATCTACTTATTTTATATAGATAAACATTCTTATTGTGCTTGCATAGTTGATTTAATCTAGGGCCTGTATGTGTAGCATAAGGTAAGATTTTTTACATAGCATTACAGATAATAATTAATATAATGATAAAATATTTTTATCCTAATGACTAATTAGATGCAAAATGTATCATTTACAGATGGTGGTGGCAGCGGCGCTGCATCCAGTTCGCAACAGCAGCCAGCAGTAGGTAAGATATTTTTTTAATTTACACTAAGCATAACACAGTGGTGGTTCAAGAGGAGACAGGGACTCCCCCTACCCTCGTCGGAGAGGCTTGGACCGCTGTCGTTCCACGCCACAACGACAATATCGAATATTGTAGTCTAAAACCACAATATATTTGTTTGCTTCCAATCTTCCCTTGATGACCTTGGTCTCTTTCTTACCCTGCATCCCCATCTGCTATGCCTCCTATTAGAATTACTTCCCTTGAGGTATGTAAAACCCTTTTATACCTTTCAACTAATAACTCATTGCACTCTGCTCTGGAAATATCCCCAGTACTCCCCGTGTCTGTGGACACTTTCCTATTCTTATGGCATTTTCCCGAGAAACTTGCTCATGTTTTCCTTATCTCACAAACTTCTTACGGATTACCAGTGTGGTTTTCGTCACCCAAGATAATATTCTTTAGAAGGTGACTACTTTGAAGCATAGGTTTTATTTAAGGAGCATCTGCTTCCCTATTCATGGTTACAATTGAAGTGACTCAAAAACAGTACTTCAGCATAGGCCTATCTATCCATAGAGCAATATCTAACTATCGGAGTAAACTATTCCTGATGATGACATACCGTAATTAATGTCGAAATATTGAATCCCGACACGATGGCGTGCATTTCGATACTTGGAGTATGTATTATACTATCTTATCTGAGATTAATCAGTGGACCTTTCGAGTAAACTATGTACAGTATTGTACAAATAAATAAAAAAAATTAGAGATTAGAGTGGTGGGAATGTAAGGACAAGAATGAACCGGTTTATCTACTTATTTTATATAGATAAACATTCTTTTATTGTGCTTGCGTAGTTGATTTAATCTAGGGCCTGTATGTCTATCATAAGGTAAGATTTTTTTTATATAGCATTACAGATAATAATTAATATAATGATAAAATATTTTTATCCTAATGACTAATTAGATGCAAAATGTATCATTTACAGGTGGTGGCAGCGGCGGAGCATCCAGTTCGCAACAGCAGCCAGCAGTAGGTAAGATATTTTTATATTTACACTACGCATAACACAGTAGTGGTTCAAGAGGAGACAGGGACTCCCCCTACCCTCGTCAGACAGGCTTACACCGCTGTCGTCCCATGCCACAAAGACAATATCGAATATTGTAGTCTAAAACCACAATTTGGGCCATCCTTGGCCAAATAAGCCATAAAAACTCTCCCAGTGAACTCTACTATGTGTTGTTAATCCGGGTCGGCCCATTGGTTTGGATCCCGCTGCCGGATAAGTCAGATCCCCTGTCAGAAAATTTCTGGAGCCAACGCTGACTACACATAATAATCAATATAGTAATGAAATATATTTGTTTGCTTCCAATCTTCCCTTGATGACCTTGGCAAGCAGTCTCTTCATTACCCTGCATCCTCATCTGCTATGCCTCCTATTAGAATTACTTCCCTTAAGGTATATAAAGCCCTTTTATACCTTTCAACTAATAAATCCCCTTGCACTCTGCCCTGGAAATATCCCCAGTACTCCCCATGGCTATGGACACTTTCCTATTCTCATGGTATTTTCCAGAGAAACTTGCTCATGGCCCCAGAAAAAAATGGCCCCGGTAGAAATGGCTCCAGTAAAAATGGCCCTAAATGACAAGTAGGTAAAAATGGCCCCGATGAAAAATTTAAGTAATAGAAATGATATTTTTTTTTTTTTTTAAACGCAAGAATTGAATCAATCAAATACAGTTACACAACAGATAATGTACTGAGAGATTATCAGAAAACAATGGCCATTGAATAACATTTTTTGATAGTAGAAATAAGTTTTAAAAACGTTATTCCACAACAAAGTAGAGGAATGACGTACATACAGTACTTCAACTACGAAAATATGCAACTCATAGATAACCACAAAATTCACTTTTGTTAAGTATCAAATGAAATAAATTTACATTTTATAAACAGTGCAAATAAACAGTAGTTAAAGCATGTGGATCAATTGTGTGTTTGAATCACAAGTTCATGTATGGGAAAAGGGAGAGGCTTACTTTACTTAGCAATAAATGTTCTGCTTAGAGTTACTTCAAAGAAGTATTTGTTAATCAAATATTTTTTTTAAATAAACTGAATAATTAGAATACATTTTATTTAAGCAACTTATTTAATTGCATACTTGGTTTCTACTCCCCGCCGACTAAATTTAAGTGCCTGAAACTATACTAAATAATGTAAACTGAGATGCTATATTATATACATAATTATGTAAATATGGCAATTATGCTAAGAATTAAAATGACGTGTAATTGTGAGGGTAAGGTAATTATGGTAGGATTAAATGGTATTGCTAAATCCCAAAACCTCCCAAAACACACTGTAGAAAACCGAAATTGAATTGTGATTGTCTCGCTTGGTATATCAATAAGAAAATTAAGTATTCATAAGAACCTATTTTTTGGTTAAAATGTTGATTTTTTTTAAATACTTGCAAATACACCACAAACCTCCAAACACACTGTGAACCCCATCCAAACCCTTTAATTATGATTGTAGAACTCTCTTTTTCAAAAAAAAAAAATAATAATTTGTGGGGTTTACCATTTCCTCGATTGAATTTCTGGAAAATTGTCATTCCGCTTCCTTGGAATTGGCCACAAATAAATTATTTTAGTATTAATAAATGCATGATTTATGTTGATTTATTGATTATGTTGTTGCTATTTTTAACATTCAAATGGAAAAAAAATAAAAAGTGTTATTCATGGCTATTTTTATATTTGAATATTTTATCATTGGATATGTAATTTCTGCAAAAAGTAAAATGTAAATGGCAATTTATTTGATGTTAGATTCCTTTTAAAAACTAAATTATTTCAGTTTAAAAAAATGCATATAATAATTTTAAAAAATTAGTTTTAATACAGAATTTTATTATTGGGGCCATTTTTACCTACCTGTCATTTGGGGTCATTTTTACCGGGGCCATTTTTTCCGGGGCCGTTTTTCCGGGGCTATTCTTACCGTAATTTTGGCCTTAATCCTTGTCTTCTTAACAGGATCTCAGGCTTCGTTCAAGGTCAATCTATTGCTGTCTATATTGATGGCTTCCTATCTCTCTGCCATCTAATCAATACAGGTGTCCAGCAGGGATCTTTTTTTAATCTCCTACTCTTTTTCTTTTATTTATTAACAATCTGCTCTCTTTGGTTTTCATCTCTATTGACTCGCTGACGACATAACCACTTAAGTTTATCTTTCTATTCTGTGCCCGCGGGCTTTTATTCAATAAATAGGCCTCCGGCCCTTTTAGCATAATAAAACATAGATACAAATTAGGTGAATATTTCTAAATATATATTCCTATAATGATATGCATAATATACGTACTTTAATAAATTAATAACAATATTCACATCTTTAGACGACATTAAATTAAAAAAAAAACTGAAATATTGAAGTTTTTTTGTTAACATAATGTGGTGGAATGAAATAGTTTTCAAATATCAATAAAATATGGACAATCTGAAATGATATTCATCTTCTATTTCATCCAAGTTTCCGGACCCAAGATTCCGCCAATCCTGTTCGTATTGCTGCCGCAAGATCTACATCAGCTAATATTATTTCCCACAATCTAGTTGTTTGCAGATGGGGTGAGGACAATCTTGTATAGTTCAACAGCATTACAAAACCGGATGTTATTTCTAATAAACAAGACACTTCTTTTCTTGTAATCTCGATGGGTCAAGATGAACTTCGTATGACCAATTCTATTGCCCAACTTGGTGTCTCTGTATCGTCTACTCTTCGTTGGAGTCACCAGATCCAAAACATTGACAAACGAGCATCTCAGAAGTTAGGTTACTTCTTCTGTGCTCGCAAATAATTCTCACTCTGCATCCACACCCTCAACTAAAATACTGCTGCCATACCTGGGGAGGATCTCCTCCTTTTCGTTTTATCACGCCTGGACAAAATTCAAAGACGCCGACAGTCTGTTGAACATCGCCACCGAGTTTCATCCCTATCTCTTATAAATACTTTTTTCTTATCACTTTTAGAGCTTTGTTTTATTGTCCCTTCCCTTCACGTCTCTTCTAGGTCAACACGAGCTTCTGCACGTGTTCACACATACTCTATCTTATTCCAACTCATTCATTCCAAGTGTTGTTCTTTGGAATAAAATTCCATCACATGTTTTTCCATTTTCTTAACATATTTAACTTTTTAAACGTAATATCGATCAATATCAATATACAACTACTTTACAGGCTGCGGCGGTGCACCCACTTTGCAACAGCAGCCAGCTAGAGGTAAAATTGTTTTTTTATTTAACACTACACATGATAATCAATATAGGCCTAATGATAAATGATAACAATTTATGTTTGCTTCTAGTCAATTTAAACAATATAAATACCACTATATGGCTAATTAGACGGAAAATATCATATCATTTACAGATAGCGGTGACGCATCCAGTTCGCAACGGCAGCCAGGCGGTAAGATTATTTATGTAATACTACAAATAATAATTAATATAATGATAAAATTCTTATGTTTACTTTCAATCAATTTAATAAACAATATCAATACAATATAAACATCAAATCATTTAAGGTAAATTTAACTACACATAACAATCAATATAATGATAAAATATTTGTGTTTGCTTCAATGAATTTAAACAATATTAATACCAATAAAATTACATTGCTAATTAGACGCAAAATATCATATCATTACAGGTAGCGGTGGTGCATCAAGTTCACGAGGGCAGTCAGCAGAAGGTAAGGTTTTAAGAATAAGATAATAATGAATATAATGATAAAATAATAATGATAAAATAATTTAATACAGGTTTTCCTGAAACCCTGACATTTCTATACACATGTACATAAATACATGCCGAGACATCTCGTTGTATAATGATTTAAAAGTATGGTAAATCCCAGAAATAAGTGGAATAATTGCGAGGAATAATTTAAATTGAAACATAACAGAAAAAAACTCAGCATACATATATACGAACAGAGAGTAGGGATCAATGTGATTGCGAGCACGTTTATTCCCAGTAAAATAAATAATAACAGAGACAAAATTTAATGACACGGTTGATGTATTGGGGGAACATAAGTATTGTATTACACACGAATATTCCGTCCTGTCCTCATAATTTTTCCAACGTGAATGAATCAGAACTTTCACATTGAGACAGACAAATTCTGAAAAAAAAACCAATGCTGTGGGAAACAATGGCTGGATCTCGGTACCGGTGCAAATTTGATAAAGAGCAGCTAAAAAGTAAACAGCCAGAAACAGAACCAGAGCTTTCAGACAACACTAGTCCTTTCTCAGTGGCGAGTGAGTGAAGGTAGAAAAATTAATCAAAAAGGAACTTATATTGATATATACCTTTATTAGCGTTCAACAGTATAATACAAAAGAATGACTTAAGAACACTTTTTTTTTAAGCTTGGATATTTCTGCCACTTTTGTGAAAATACAAGTGACCTGATTATGTCATTGTCTGCATGTTTTAGGCCTATTCATAGAGGTATTATTCTTATAATAACTATATGGACATAATTATGTGATTGAGATTCTGTATTTTCATTATAATATCTTTCAGCTATCCCTGAGGACGATTACTACGATTTGCTGCACGTTGTGTCAGAGTGGTGGGAGTCATATGGTAGTAATACCGGTATCCATATGATGAAGGTATTAATTCGGCAGTTTAAAGACAAAATTGGTAAGGAGGAGCTGCGTGTCGCGAATGACGTTAGGGCTTTATTTAGATTAATGAAGGCAATTGGAGTGGCGAACAGTTTAAAATATGAAGTTATTTTGGAGGTTGTTAAAATTTGTGGCCTTGACGGTGTAGAGACAAATATTAGAAAAATTGAGCCAACTTTTGAAAATTTTACTTTAAAAGATGTAGAAATCAAAACATTTTCCTCTTATCGACAAAATCTGATAAAATTTGGGAAAAGTTTGTCAAAGGATGAAATTGTGACTCTTGGTCACCTGTATAATATACCTCAGAAAACTATGAACCACAAAAGTCCATGGCTTCTAATTTGTGCACTGGAGGATAAACAAATTATCCAAGAAAATTCAGCAGAAAAATTGATCAAAAGGTTAAGAAGAAATAATATGCACAAGCAGGCAGATATATTAGAAAGTCCATCCGCATGAGGAGAATAATGAATGGAAATGCCAAAATTAATGTTGTGAACTGTATATGCACACAACGAAAACGTAGATATCAAACATTTATTTACTTAATACACAAATATAAGGAGCGACCCGACAAATGCACTACTAAATAAAACATAATTCTGAGAAGAAGTTAAACGAGAACATGACAACCGAAAGTAATGTAAATTACCATGCGTTTATGATATTCTAAATAGACAGCAAAAATATCACAGTAAACACTTCATCTTCAACAAATTCGAACAGGAATTGTGAGGTACATTGTTAAGCATTTTTAAAGCTTACTGTCATTGACATGTAGTGGTTGAAAACTTATTCTTCCGCGGCTATGTATGTTGCAACAACGATACCAGAAACACAAGATAAATCTCTCGCATTGTAAAAACATGAAGGGGATAATCGTCATACCTTTTACGCATATCCTGATGTAGGCGGCGCCCTTTTCTTTCTGCTACTTATGGGCTAATGATGGAAACTCATTACTAATCAGAGTCCATCCATACGCGGCTCCCCGTTTTTCTTGCATTCTTATTATGCATTTCGGTGCGACAGTTCTTTTTTTTAATGTGAAAATCTTGTGTTTCTTATCTTTGGTTACAACTGTTATCTTAAGAAATTGTGTAATGGTTTATATTAAATGCGGATATAATGTGTTTTTATCGTACCAGCAACATTTCTCCTAGTCAGGAGAAAAGGTGTAGTAGAATATTGAAGATAGTGCCCTACGCGGCAATTACGCGTTTAGCTATTGTATAATTAAGCGGTGGCGGTATAATAAAGTTTTACAATATAATAATTAGCAGTTCTGTACTAAACAGAATTAGAAACTCGGTAAAAGTAGTGTAGTATATACATTATGATTTCATCAACATGTGTAATGGAACAATGTATCAGGCGAACACAAAATGCGAGTTATGACGTTATACATAATGTTCTAAATACGTATTTATGATTCTACAAAAAAAAATGTGTACACCAAGTTATCATAACGTTATCTTGCATGATCTTCACAAGGTAAATAGAACAACCATTTAAAAATTTTGGTGACGTATTCACAGTTACGTATATTTTACTATTACTGTTTTATTGTATTGCTTTAAAGTAGTTAGCATATTTGCCCCAAGTTTAGCAGTGTTGTACATAGATTTAACCTTTACATTGTTATTTTGTAAACTACATGAAATAATTAGATTTTCTTGTTCTACTCTTTGCTGTGAAAGTAGTAAGTACGTAGCGTGTATCACACTGGCTTTAGATATTCTGTTTACTGTAGCAACATTTTTCATTTAAGATTTTTGAATAATTTGGTATATTTCGCTGTCAACAAATAATTGTGTAGACCTTTACTGTCGGACAGGTAAAATATAGCCGTAATATTACATCACTCTTGACGAATAACCATTCGATATGTGTGTCAATCAGATAACACGGCTGAAAAATACATTTGTTAAGGTTGACGAAGCATTAAAGTTTGACATTAATTTTAACATTTGCAGTGAGTATTATGAATTACTAAGAACAAAAACTAAAATGTTATGACCAACAGTCGTGGGAAAACCATCGACTGAAGAACATTCATCGGAGTCATCAATGTGATTTATCGTCATGTATTAAAAAGACTATTACAAAATAAAATAGTTTTCTATATTTTTCTGTAGAC